CTCGAATATTTAATAATTCTAATCGAAAATCTTTTCTTATTAAGAGATCCAATTTAAAGTCATTCATAATGAGCTTTAGCATGATCTAAAATATATTTGTATATTCTCATATTTCTCGAAATTTTCTTAATTGCTTTGCAAACATTCGTTATTGATGTACATCCACTGGGAGTTGATAAATTGCTTTAACCTTCCGAAAGTGTTTACAGGATAATCGAATTCATTTACGTTTCGCTGCCGCCACAATATTTTCGAAAGTCACTTTCTGCATATTTTTTAATTGGTTACATTTTACTTTTTGGGATTCTTTACATAAAATATGCAAATAGTGCATTTAACAAAGATTTCATAATCGTGACTGAAGTTGTCACGATATGTTTCGTTCCGTTTTGGATGATTAGTAGAAACTGGTTGATTGCAAAGTATCTTGTTTTCCAATATGATTCTCTTATAAATATTTCTATATATGTATATATAAAAAAATGCTCGTAACTGAAACTAACCGGTTTTTCCGAAATATTTTTGCGTCTGGTTTCTCTAAGAGAGCATGGACATAATACATAATTTTATCAAGATTTTAATGGTAAAATAATTAAATATTATGAACTTAGTGAGTACAACGTTTTTCTCTGTAAATTCATTTGTAACTGTAGGTTTGTTAGAGAAAGTAGAATGTGTATAATAATTAATTGTTTTAATCAAGAATTCTTTCATCTTAACGTAACTTGTAAAATAACAGCATTTCCTCATAGTTGAAAAAATAGCTGTGCTTTTAATTAAATTTTAAAAAACAAATTTTTATGCAATTTATTATAATCGTTACAAATAACTGTGGTAGATTAATTAGACGCTCTTTAGATTCATGTTTTAATTATATTCTTTTGCGCACAATAATTGTTTGATGCTCGAAGAATTCTTCAATGAATAAGTAGGTTCAAATGGAAAGTTACATACAAATGGCATGGTGTTTTTAATTTGATACGCCAAGTAGTACAGATCTAGTGTATATGTGTGTTTGTACATAGAAAAATTGCATAATTTCTTTACAATTGCAGGATACGTTTACTAACATTCCTTAAACGAAATGCATTCATTAGGGAAAGGAAAATGTTACTTTAGTTTTTTTTTTTCATAACGTTTTATATTTAATTACACTCTATTCTTAGTTGTTAGTTGATGATTGTAGATAAGTTACTTAACAGTAGTATACAAAGTAGGTAATAACGAAATGTTAAATGTAGGTTTAGTGCGTTTTAATTCATATGTTATTAAATTGTAACTTGCTGTTATTTAAAATTATATTTTTTAATTAATTCTAAAGTACTACAAAATATATGTGTAAATGTTATTATTATACTCTGCTATTTAGAAGATGCATATCAATGACGGTTATATAGTTATTATGTAATAAAGATTTGATGTCAATGTCAAATTAACGGCTTGTTACGCAATGGACTTGTATAGATTATAAAGATTCAAAACTGGAAATACTTGTTTACATAAACAATAATTGTCCTTAAACTACCTTAAAGTAAGCATTCAAGTATATTTATTTATGAAAGTTAGCAACCTAATGCGTGTTTACCAAAGAAAGTAATAATAATTGTTCATTTTCATTATTTTCTCTTCGACGGAGCCAACACAAAGCTGTCGCTTTTTACATCATGTGTGTGTGTGTATGTTTAGAATGTCTTAAACAAAACGGAATTCTGAATGAAGGAGAGAACTTTCTTCTGGGCTTCATGTGAAAATACTAAAGACCGTAGCACAATTTCCACGGCAACTGCTGCACATAATAAATTATATAAAAAAAAAACAAACACACATTGAATTTGTTCTTGCGCTCCTCCAGCAAATCTCTACCAAATAATTATGCCGGTAACCTAGATAAAATACATTTCACTCGAAGGTATAAATTAATATTTAAAGAAAAAGTATCGATGAACGGAGGTGAAATGCGGGCTCCTGCTTACCAATTACATTTTCATGCACCTCGGCCGGATTTAATGAAACATTTCGAAGCTATATGTATTCAGCAATTGCGGCAATTAAAAATAAGTAATAAGCGAAGAAATCGAATAGGATGTAACGGTGGTTCTGTCACATTTAATTTACCTAGATACGCGATTTCACATTTCCATAGCGGTCTGCACTATATTTGGACATGTCCTATAATAAATTACATTATGTAACGATTCATTCACCTATTAAATAGATTTCATGAAAACAAACATTATTTTCTACATTTTTTTAAATAGTAATTATTACATGATTTATTGATATTCTTTGATTTACAAGTAAACATTTAAATTTGTATTTAGATGAGTTAGTTCAATTTCAAATACAATGGTTGAAGAATGTTAAGCCGTGTAGGACTATTAATTTGATCTTATATTTGAACGATTTAAGTATATTTTTACTTAATTAAAAAGGTAAAATTTCTTCCATTGTGCCAATTAACATAAATTTAAATGCCATGGTCATGCCCTGATTAACATGATTGAGTTTTTCGTCTGTAGTACCATCATTTCGATCGTCAAAACTTTAGGAATATTAAAAGTTCTATCTATTCGTTATTGCATATACATATATTTCAATAATTATAAATGTATAAAATTAATAAATTAATTAAGATTTATTTGAAATTATTTAAAAAATAAACTATAATTATGTGTATTGGTTTTAAAAGAAAATAATGTGAGTACTACGTACGGAAAATTGCATAACAAATGATGAAAAACTTAAATATTTAATATTCACTCCATTGACGGATATTTAACAGATTAATATTTACAGAGTATAAAAATAATGTATTAACTAGTCAATATTGTATTGACTTATATGATTATTGTTTCAACTCAATGCGCAACATCGGATACTATATCAAGCGATATATCCAATTTGGTATTTCTTGAAGCTATTATCAATTATTCCAATCGAACCAAACGAACGTTTTCATTGCATAAAAGCAATCTATTATTGTTATAAACAAGTTTTCAATGCAAATAATTGTGAAGAAAAAAAGAAATGCATGCAATGTACGCAGTTAGTCTGTGTGCACAGTCCATGCGTAGCGAAATATCTAAATTGAGCGCATAACAGTGCTTTTAATTTCTATACACACACATACATAAAAACTATGAACGAAAACAATTAAAAATTCTGTCCCCGTGACGAACATTGAACGCTTGGAAATGCGTATATTTTGTTCAGTTGATGATATTCGTTATATCTGTTTTAATTTTGAACGCCGTCGATGACCCGAACTTGTACAATACGGGCGAATTGCGAAAAGTCGCGTCGATACTTCTTTGGAAAGCGTTCCGGAAAAGTTTTCTAGTTACGTAATCGGTAGGTAACGACCATCGAACAATTTAAATAATTGTCGAGCTAATTGTGACCATGAAAAGAAAAAATAAAATGATTAAATGTAAGGTGAATTGACGTGATTGATAATTAATTTTCTCGGAGTTTAGACTCGGAGTCAAAGTAGAAATTTCGCCATAATTTAATTATACGGAACGAAACCATGTGTATTCCGTGAAACTAAATTATAAATACATAATTAATACTACCAATCGAAGATGTAATTGTGGTTTTCAAAATAATAACGTAACATATTTGATAATCAACAATTTAGTTAAGCGGTTTAACTACAGGACATGTAATTTGCTGGTTCATTATTGTTATAAGTACAGTGTTATGTACTAGGAAATATGCCAGCCAGTTCATCCCTATTTACGCACTTAGGTATATCTAGTGAGCAGAAAAAAACAAAGGAAATGAGAAAAAACACACAATAAACAGATAAAAACGATTACAAGTCCGTGTATCTTTAATCGTAAAGATATACGAACTTGTAATCGTCTTGATCTGTTTATTCTCGGACTTAGCAACACAACAAAAGTTTAGCGACAAGGATGGGATGAATTATTAACGATTACAAGTCCATGTGTCTTTAATCGACTCAGCAATACAACAAAAGTTTGGCGACGAGGATGGGATGAATGATTAACGTTAACAAGTCCGTTATCTTTAATCGACACAGCAACACAACAATCTAACAACAATAAAATTTCCGTTATATATTCTTTTGTTTTTTTTTAAGTAAAAATATACTTTTCACACCTTTTTAAGTTACTCTCATTATTTAGCTAATATTACAGTATTTTTTAATTTTTTATGACTGAGAAAATAAAAACTATTAGTTTCTATAATAGAAGTTCTTGATGAATTGAATCTTCGAATTTAGGTCAAGTGTGTTTCTATTAACTGATGATACTTCCTATATATCATCAATGTAATTATTTTAATTAATTAATTAACTAATGACACATTTAAATGGTTGATGATATTAAAAAAAAGTCTCTATTAGATTTAGTTTATAAAAAAAGTAAGAAATTATGTAGAAAGTATTATTTTAACTATAATTAGACAATTTAGATATCTAATAATAAAAGTAAACATATTTGGTTCGTTCAACTTTACTTTTATATTTTTTTTTGGATTGTGCAACTGGATACATGTCATTGTCAATAATAACAAGTATCGTCTACAAAACCTAAATTAGCAGTACGCTCTGTCAGGATTTAATTATTGAAATGACCAATATAATCATTTTTCTTCTTAGTAGAGGAATCTTATATTAAATCATTTTTAGAATTAAATAAAAACAAATTGAATATTGTTATAACTATTATTAAATTATCGTAACAATGCTTGAAGTAAACATGTACAATTTATACAAATATACACGCAATGGTACAATCTACTGAGAAAGTAAAAAGTTGTATGTTCATATGCACATTATTGAGCTTTAATTAATTAACAAAACTTAATTATTAGTTGCTTTCTCCTTCATGTTAGAGTAAATTTAAATCTTTGGTATGTGATAGATTAAGTTTGAAAAGTTTGTAGTTTTGTGATCCAGATATCTGTAAATAGTTTTGTTAGGCAACTAACTGAACGTATGACCTGTCTCTTTATTCTTTTATATAACAATTGGAGGTTACTTATGGTGCGTAATTGTTTGTAGGTTCATGGCCATGAAGGTGACCCAGAGGTGGGGAAAGTACCTGAAGAGGAGCGCTCGAGAGCCGCCAACATGAGGAGCTATAAAACACGGCCAGTGCGCGTCGTGTTGCGACGTGTGATGGTCATCATGATAATCAGTGCTATTTTAGCTGCTGTCGCGGCGCTCGTATGGTACTTCTTGGGATGGCAATCCGTGGTGCAACTGGTCCTCGTTGCTATCGTCGCGTATTTGGCCACAGGAAAGTACAAATGGTTCGTCGTCGCTATCAAAACGGCTCCAAGGGACATTAGGTATGAACGAACTAACTAACCAACCTCAGTACACTCCTCGATGATTAACTTTTAAATTGATAATAATTGGAGACGTCGAGGAGAAATTTAAGCCTTTTCCCACGAATAGTAGGTCAATTCCGTTTACCCTTTCCTTCAACTTAGAAACGCATCTATAATATTATACATTAGCAATTCATAGTTGAAGAAATATCCAAATTACACAGTTTAAGAAACAGGAAATTTTAATACAAACCGAAAACTTGTTATTTTCTGTAATTGCAACAAATAACAAGTTTTCGGCGATGACTTCATTAATTTTTAATTGAATCTGAATGCAATGCAAGTTTATTGTGAACGCTGTTATATTAATCAGCAGTTTCTGTTTACCGTACACGAACAAGTTTATATACAATGCACATTTGAAAACAACGAGTCTATTGATTGCAAATATTTGATCTTACTTGTTAATTTTAACTTACTATTTACATATTTTATTCGTTTTAAAACACAATGAAATATTAATAATCGGATTTGAATTTCAGTATTGCAATTTGGTATATATGTGTGAATGAAATATAAATCCCAGGTAATTGAATTTTCTTGTTAGAAGCGTATCACAATAAGTCCACACATTTGAACAATGACAATTCATTGTTTTTGAACTCGTTTTTTATACTTTCGACTAACGAAAACTTATAACAACGTTTGCCTAAAAGAAAGCGCAAGGTCAATTGCAACGCATATTCAAATTAAGTAATTAAGGTAAAGAAACAGAGTTTATGCGTTTTTTAGTGATATTTATACAAAAAAATATACTTAACACTTTAGCTATGAAAAATATAAATAATCGAAACGACGTAAATGTAATAAATCTTAAAATCAGTCTATGCAAACAATTTAATTTGAATCTCGATGATTTTAATAAATTTCATATTTTTGATATAAACCATTATCCATAGAATGATCACCAAATATTTTTAATACCTTATCAGTAAATTCGTAAGGTAATCGTAATATTTGTACACAATGCGAATGGTATACGCATTGAACTTTGGCCGCATACAGGAATATGCTCAATATCGCCGTATATTATTTCCACTCAAGTATCAATTGTTTACATACTAAAATTTACTACATAATACCCATATCGCACATTGCAAAAGTTAACACTATAATATTACAATTGGTAAACTTTCATAAATAAATCGAGTACTTGTAATATTTGAACGACGCACATGAGTAAATATTAAAGATCACAACAATCTATATTTATAAAAACAATCTTCGTAAATGATGAGATTAAAAATGTCAGTGATATATTATCTGACAAATTGATCTAAATTTATATTCCAAATTTCATATTTAACGAATAACAAGTGAAATATATATTTAAACCTTTTTTAATTCTTCGATAAACCAGTCTTCATTTTGGGTAGTCATGTACTTTGTGACTACGAGTCAATGTCTTATATTTTAGAAATGCCTCAAGGTCGTCTTTGTTAGATAAACCATTAACACTGGACTATGACGAACCGCTGTACTTCATCTTCAAAAAAAAAGTACAATTTATAAAGTAGTTGATAACTAGGATATTTTATATGCATTTTAAAGCTAATGATCTTTTAAATAAATAATTAAATACAGTATGTCAGGTGATCAGAAATATTTGAATTTATTTATGTATTTACCAGAGTAAATGATGCATTTTCGTCGTAAATTACAATGTTTTCGTTTCTGAATGTTAATAATGTTCGGGAATTTCCATATAATGAAACTTTTACAATTCGTTTCCAGTTTTTTAATTAAAAACTGTCTGTCTTTATAAAATTATTTGCTGTGTTTTCTCTAATAAGAGAAAGTATTTATTTTCTATTTTTTCAGAGCGTTATTTGGATATATAAGACTTTTGATTCAAATTAAGGGATATCAAAGGAAAAATCTTATATTAGCTGATATATTCCAGCAGCATGTCAAGAAACATCCAAATAAAACTTGTATCATATACGATGATCAGGAGTGGACGTTCGCCGAGGTAAAGTGAAATGTATATCATTGCAATGCATGTAAAATGACTATTTCATGTACTTTGTAGGTGGAAGAGTACAGTAATAAAATAGCCAATGTATTTAAAAGTCACGGTTACAAGAAGGGAGACATCGTCGCTTTGTATTTGGAGAACAAACCCGAATACATTTGCACGTGGCTGGGATTATCAAAACTAGGCGTTATAGTTCCTTTAATAAACACCAATTTGAGACTTAATTCGTTAGTGCATTCCATTACCGTGGCCAAGAGTCAAGCAGTCATTTTCGGAGCAGAATTATCGCAAGGTTAAATCAATTTTACAATGTAATTACAGCGGCTTAAAGAAATTTCTGTTACAGCCGTCAAAGATGTCCTGGATAAAATCGAATCCAAGGTGGCCCTTTACGAATTGACCAGCTTGAGAGAGCAGCCGCATCCTTTGCATACTAGTTTCCAAAATTTGAACGCCCTTTTAGCAGAAGCTAATCCAACACCGCCGACCATCACAGATAAAGTAGGATATCACGACAATTTGGTTTATATCTACACTTCCGGGACAACAGGATTGCCAAAAGCGGCCGTGATCAGCAATTCACGGTATGCTCTAAATGTATTTTCAGAACAATTTACATGACTATTGTATTTCTGTAACTTTCTCATCAGGTATATATTTATCGCCGCAGCGATTCACTGGTTGGCTAGATTCAAGAGTTGCGACAGATTTTACACTCCGTTACCCTTGTATCATACAGCTGGAGGTTGCATGTCCACGGGGCAGATGCTGATATTCGGAAGCACTCTAGTCATAAGAAAGAAATTCTCCGCTTCTTCCTATTTCACTGATATTCGAAAGTACGACTGCACCGTAAGTTTAAATTTAAAAAAACGTCAATTGATATGTCCATTATAACAAATGTAAACTTAGGTCGCCCAATATATCGGAGAAATGTGTCGATACATTCTGGCAGTTCCCAGCAATCCAGATGAATCAATCCACAAGCTACGGTTAATCTTCGGGAATGGACTGAGGCCACAAATCTGGACAGAGTTCGTAGATCGCTTCCAGATTCCTAGAGTGGCAGAGTTCTACGGTGCCACAGAAGGCAATGCGAATATCGGTAAGTAACACTTACAGTAACCATACACTTATGAAGGTATGCATTATAATACTACTCTTTCTACGTAGTTAACGTTGATAATACTGTTGGTGCAATTGGATTCATTTCCCGAATTATTCCTGCGGTATATCCAATCAGCATAATTAAAGTGGATCCTACAACCGGCGAACCAATCAGAGATGCTCATGGTCTGTGTATGCTCTGCAAGGCGAACGAACCGGGCGTATTCATTGGTAAAATTATCCCTGGAAATCCTTCGCGCGCTTTCTTAGGGTACGTGGACAAAGAAGCATCCCAGAAAAAGATCGTTCACGACGTATTCAAAAAAGGCGATTCGGCATTCCTATCGGGCGATATTCTCGTCGCCGATGAATTGGGCAACTTATTTTTCAAAGACAGAACCGGTGATACATTCAGGTGGAAAGGAGAGAACGTGAGCACTTCGGAAGTCGAGGCGGTATTGAGTAATTTGGCAGCTTATAAAGACGTAGTTGTTTATGGCGTAGAGGTATATAATACATTCGGTTATAATCACTATCTGATACTATAATAATATTATTTTGTCTTTAGATTCGTGGCCAGGAGGGTAGAGCTGGTATGGCTGCGATTTTGGATCCAGAAGGCACTTTGGAGTTCCGCGGCTTAGCTGATGGTATAAAGAAAGGACTACCTTCGTACGCACGACCTATATTTATTCGAACCCTAACTAAACTCGATATGACTGGTATGATACTGATAAATGCATTTAATAACACTCGTTTCTCATCGTTTTACTTCCAGGCACATACAAACTAAAGAAAGTGGATCTGCAAAAGGAAGGATTTGATCCTAAAGCTATTACTGATAATATATATTACCTGGACAACAGCGGCCAGTATCAACACTTAACTCCAGAAGTGTACGCTAAAATTAACGATGGATCGATCAGACTTTAGTTGACTATCTCTGTATATGTGATCTTATATTTATATTTACATTAAATAAAATTGAAATATATTGTTATAATATATATATACACATACAGATTATTTTTTTTTATAATTAATTTGTTTTATGGAAGATGTTTTTCTTAATATTTTATTAAAAAAATAAAAATAATAGCTAGTTTGTTTTATTAATTTTGTTTGTCATCAAATACCAATGATTAATTGAAGCTAATGTACCAAAATGTATATCGAAATAGAAAATAATTATAAGCAGTGAATACATTTTTTTTATTTATAATAAATAGAGGTACACAATAAAATGTTTTGTATATATAATTCTTACAATATATTAATTACTAAATTCATCTATAAAAACTGAACATCTGAATGTTAATTTTGGCAGTAAATAATATAAAATATTAGTGATATCAGATTCCAGTTCATTTAAAAATCTATATACAAATATACATGCTGTGATTATGGACTCTTAATTTATATTGGTTAGGAATATCAGAATAATCAATCAACCTAATAGCAATAGAGCTTCCCGCAGATCTGCCCCAAAACTGCCAAATGTAATTGATGATGGTGTATAGACCAAACAGGTCTGAGAGAAGCATAAAAAAGAAGTGTAAATAATAAACGAAAAGCATTGTTTAGTTGAGGGACCAGTAACCATCAAGTACTTTAAGAAAAATAGGTAAAAAAAAATAAATTTCAACAAACCTGTAATCGTCCCTCGGCTAAACAAATTTTACTTATCTGAAATCATAAGAGAACGAAAAATGAAACCAAACAAAAATTAAAGCAACCATCAACTTCGCGGCAGGCTTTTCGAGTTTTGCCCCTTACCAATTTTCGGTCTGCTACCAAACCACGACATTTTCCACTCTAAGGTATCGTTTAAAAGCTTCTCCTCTTCTGGGGAGAATTTCAACAGAGTGGCGACGGCCCGAGTTAAATGCTGAGCCTCGTACTCTCGACTAGTTAAGAATTTGATAATAACGTGTTTGAGGTATGTGAAGTTAACATCGTCGTCGTCCTTTCGAACAGTGAATTGGTGATGGCGTGTTGTAGTTTGACTCGGAGTCAAAATTGCAGCGTTCGTGTCGATGTCGTAAAAATTTGAATGGTTCGTGGTGCGCAATTCTTGTTGTAATGTCTTTTTCATATCGGCCAGTCGGAGCTGCAGCGTTTTTATATTCTGCAATAAGACAGTGATTCAGTTAATAGACTATACAGGTATAGTATACACATTTCATTAAATACCTTATTCTTATCGGAAAGTTGCTCTTCTAATACTGCTACGGTATTTCTCAGCTCCTGTTCAATACCTTTAGTTTCCTTCTCCTTGAATTGTTTATTTTCCTCTTCTAACTGACCAATCTTATTAAGCAAGTCATTCATCTCCGTCTCTTGTCGACGCGTTTCCTGCTTGGCCAATTCCATCTGCTGCGAAATCTCTGCATTTCTTAATAATGCTGTATTTTTCTCCGCGGTTACTCTGAACAAAATTATTAGTTTGAAAAATTAAATGAAATTATATTTATTATTATTTATGTCAAGATTTAGTCTAAGAAACGTCTATAGCTAACATTGAATCAATATAACCTTTATAATAGTAATTCGATTAGAATCCTCTAATCAAATATGTGTAAATATTGTGAATACACTTATTGCGCAGTGTTCGAACAATTAATTACTTGTATATTGCTTACCTAGTTAGCGTCCTTTGCACATTCAGACTATTGCTTTTCTCGTCCATCAAATCCTTCTCCAATCTCGTTATATCTTGCTTTAAGGATAAGTTGGCTTGATGTTCAGAATCCACGGAGATCCTCAACTTCGCACATTCGTCGTCGTTCTTTTCCAATTCGCTTTCCGCATTTTCCAGATTCTTGCGGACCGCTTTTATTTCGGTCGTTACGTTTTGCTGAAAGAAAATAAAAAGAAAATTGTATAATTAACAAAGTAAAAAATTATTAATGGATACCCAAAATACAGATTTTTAGAATACATCGGTGCTTTTGGTATGGCGTGTAGAGGTTGCGTTAGTGACAGTACTCGGTTAAATGTTAAAACACAAAAATAAAAGAAAAATAATAATTGTAAAACATGTAGGATATTTTATTAAACATAAATAATAATAATACAATAAAGGAAAACATAATAATATAAAACTAATCTAAAAATTAATCAATTCCCAAGCAAATAATATAATGGAAATAATAGTAACAATAATAATAAGAAGAATGTGTTTGGCCCGATGTAACATTTAACTCACGATTTGGTCCCTTAAAGAAGCGACCTCTTGCTCAGTTTTTGACCTAATACTTTTCAATTCCGCGGATAATTCCTCAACTTCCATTGTTAACCTTTTCATTTTAGCCTCTTTATTACTCAACTCTAAATTATTGCACTCTAATTCGCATTCTAATTGTCTTACTCTCTCTAACAATACTTCTTTCTCATCAACAGCTCTTCGCCTTTCAGCTCCTTCTTCGGCAGCTTGTCTACTCAAACGACCGACCTAAAACCGAAATCGAATGAACTCTCAAAACACATGACAACTAATCACATTGAACGTACTTGAGTTTCGAGGGACGCGATCTTGTCGCTCCAAGATGTTTTGATATCGGCCAAATGTATGTGTGCTTCCTCGAGTCTCTGCTCTAATAATTTTCTTTCGGCATTTACATGATCATTATTACCGCTAGAATTACAATCGCATGCAGCTCGTTGCTCCAACACGGCAACCAAATATGTTAAATGTCGTTTTTCCTCCTCCCTCTTAGCTAAATCCGAAGCCAAAGAAGCTAAATCTCTAGCACTAGAATGTCGCAAACTTTCTAAATCATCCTACAATCATGAAAGAAAAAATATTTGCTTATACACTAATATTATTCTATTTAGGTGAAAAAAAAATATGTAAATTATATTTTTTTTAATATAAAAGCCCAAAAGCACATACCTTCGTTTAATCAGCCGGAAGCGTTCTTACGATACATAAACACACATTTAGTGCCGAACTGCGAACTACATTGTGCATCAATACCTCTTACACAAAACATAATATAAAAATAAATAAAGAATAAAATGATATTTTTGTTAATAGTAATAATATGATTTGCATTCAAATTAGTAACGCAACGGGACAATGAAATGCATCGGTGAATAAAATAAATTTGCCAAACCCGAATATCCATTAAATATATTTAAAAAAAGCGACTAGTCTAAATGAAAGTGCATTTACTCAAGTGTAAAATAAATTTCTCGATGGGGGAATAAAGAAATATATATGATCTATGAAGACATTCCGTATACACAAAGAATTTAAGAAAGTTTTGCGAAAGTTATTTGTACGAAAAAAATATCTGTATGAAACATAAGCTTATGCTTGTACTCGAAAACACGTTCACGTCATTTATGCATCCTTTTCGAACAAGGCCAAAGCAAAGTGACAAAAAATGCTTATGTAATGTTTATAATAAACATTTCTATAATCATATACTTTTAATATAAAAAGTTTCAGTTTTTAATAATTAGCTAACTGATATCATTTGCCAAAAAAATACACCTGAATAAAATTGCTGAACTATCAACAAGTTGATATCAACACATACACCTGTACTTATTATGTATTCAAATTGAAGAATGTATAAATATAGAACTTCGAGTTTATTGCTTTATACACCTATAAAAGAGGACACGCATTGCGCCACACGATAACCGTAAAGATAAAGCGAATTATTTACATACAAAGTTTTGATAAAATGCCGGAATCATAAATATAATTTGTTTGATTGCTCCAAATGACTTAAATATTATAATTTTGGTAATGATAAAATACAAAACTATTGATAATAATACATTCGTACTAATAGCGAGAGACGATAACAAATAATGATTCATGAAAAGATTCAATCTGTAAAACTAATCAGTGTCTGGTGATGAATATCCTGGTATGCATTTTTCAATCTATTTTGTCTAGTCAACAAAATTATAATTACATACTTACCAATTATTTAACTACATATGGTAATATAAAGTGAATCAAATATAAATTAAACAAAAATAAATTTTACCTGTGAATGACTCAATTGTTCCTCAAATCTCCTCAGCCTATTAACTTCACTTCTTAGTTTATCCAATTGTTGATTTGCCTCTTTCAAAGATGAAGTTTTCTCTTCCAACTCTTGCTCCCTTAAGAGAACTAAATGTTTCACTTTTCCTAGTTCTTGAGTTTGGAAATTTTCAATCTGTTCCTTATCCTCCTGCCTCTCTACCATCTTCTGCTTACAAACTAAAATTCATATGGAACAATTGGATACATTATGATTCAATGAAATCTTACACATTATGTCCCAAGGCATTTTAAACAATTATGTACTATACCTTCTGCATTTTTTAAAGAATCCTTTAAATTATGTATCTGTTTATGGGCTTCTTCCTTTTCCCTCTCCAAACTCTGCACATGCTTATCCTTATCACACAATGCGTCTCTCCATTCCTTTTCCTTTTCATCCAATTTCTTTGCAAATTCTTGCTCTAATCTATTCAACCGTCTTCTATAGTCCTCTTCACTTTTAAACTCACCATTGTCTTCTCTGACACCATCAGATGATACAAGTGAGTTAATACTGGTTGTGGAGCCACGGCCCCTCAATGAATCTATCCTTTGCACTGTAGAGGAGGTGATTTTGGCAGTCAATTTAGATAGATCACTGCCTGTCTCCTCTCGAATTTTATTCTTCAAAGATGCGAACATTGTTTAATTCTTCACTACATTCATCTAATCAATTAATTAATGAAATTTATTTCTTGTATTAACTACGATTCTTGCGAGTATACTTTAAAGGCATATTAGATTCGTATTATTGTCACAATTAGTATTATTTCAAGAAATGATCGACATTAAATTAACAATATTTTCACCTTTATACCACAATTGACAACTGGCTACAAAACACAAAACCATTTTGACAGACAATACGTGTTTGTCAATTTGCTTAGGCCACTAAATGTACACGTGCGTAAAGCGGGTAAGAACTAGCGGGACTTTCAAACATAATTATTTCGTGTATTTACAAATTTAATAATAATCGGCACAAATGAAAACACTTATTTTAAAAATTAAAAACTTTACTTGATTAAAATATACTTTATAAAAAAAGTCAACTAAAACAATAAAACAGTAAAATAAAAATGTAAGCTATTGGTTATAAAGGCACCCAGGTTTTAATTAACTGATCCTCCCCTGACGTAATAAGATATTTCCTATCTGCTGCAATATCCAAGGATAATATAGAACCTAAAATAATTATCATTTTGCAAATTGAACGATTTTAGCTAATGTAATTGAAGTACCTTGATGAGCATGCATTTGCAATAACAATTTCACTTCTACTATATCCCAGATGTACAAATCTCCGCTTTCCGAGCCAATCAGTAAAAGATAATCGTCCAATTTTAAGCAATGCAACGGAGATGCTAATATTTTCCTATACATAGACATACCGGTGTTCATATCCGAGACTTGAAATGTTTTGTCGAGACTGCAGGAGATTATTTTCAAGCTATCATCTGTGAAGGAAATAGATGTAACTTTTTTTGAATGAGCCAAATACTTTTTTTCCAATCTATAATCTTGCATATTCCATACGTAGATTTCCCCATCCTCTGTGCCGACAGCTAAATATTTATTGTCTCTGAAGAATTATAATTATTACAGAATCTATTTACATTATGATATGGTTACCTGTCCAAACAAAGGGAGGTCACGTGCGAATTATGGTCAAAATGGTGCGGAGGATAAATTACTTTTTTAATGCCTTCTCTGTTAGCACTTCGCCAAACTCCAACAGTGCAATCGCCGCTACCAGAACATAACAAATTCGATTTGGTCCCCCAAGCAACGCATGTAATAGCATCATCGTGTGCAGTTACAGTCTGAGTTACTCTCCCGAAATCCAAATCATATAAGATACTAAAAAAAGCGAATTAACATTAAATAGTTATTATCATTAATATACAAACATTTCATTTCCAAAACTACCAATAACTAAAATATTATTGTAAGGTAATTTCACGCAACAACTCAAAGGCATGCTTCCAATACTAGCACTTCTAATTTGTCTCTCTTGTCCTACAGAGAATACTTTCAATTTGGAGTCATGACCAACGGATATTATACGTTCCGAATCTTCGCTAAAGAAAACGCAACTTACTTTGTCTTTGTGCGTGGAGTACGTTGTTTTCAATGTCAACGAACTTAAACATTTCCATTTATCTGTAACAATGAAATTACTATTACTGTTTGATTAATTGAAAGCATTGTATACAAAAACCTTCAACAGAGTCTGAATTTACTTGCGTTGGTTCAATTAATAGCGAGCAGCCTACTTTTCTCTTTGGATGCGGCAATTTAAATACTTGTCGAGGTATTTGGCCAAATTCCATAATCTGCACTTCATATGTGTGCCTTTCTGTGAAATCAGTTATTGAATCCAGATCTACACTGCCCTCATAGCACAAATGATAATATACTGCAATAATAGCGATTTCAGTCAAATATGCACTTCACCTAATTATATTGACTGTTAAAATGTATTAAATGTACTTACAATTTTTAGATTTTAGAGCCTCTTCACCCCTTTGTTTGTAACCAAATATCAGATCAATCCAACAATGTAAGTTTTGTGAAACAATATCAGATTCCAAAGCATCTCTAAGGGTCTGAACAAAATGCATAGGGCTCTCCGCCCACGGCGGTAAGACCACGTCACTAACTTTAACGCCATTATGTCTGTATCCAAAGTTAATACCTAAATTATTTACTAAAAAGCTGCCCCCTTGTTCCACATCATAAAAATCCGGTATTAATTCTTTAAAATCGGACATATCATTTAACGAGTTCTTGCATAAATCAGCACACGAATTAAACATACGATCTGGATGATCGAATCGTCCGTTTTGCAAACACAACATGTATTGGGGGTACAGACGAACCAAATAAAATAAAACAAAACCAGGAGTGGAATAATGCGAGCCGTAAATAAACTTCGGCTCCGACATTTCTTCGTAGCGTTCCATCAGTCTGCGTAAGCGATCATCATTTAAGGCACCAATCGGTTTCGTTAGATCTCGATAAATGGAAACATCAGATAAATCAATTGTCGGAGATTTATAATCAAAAATAATCCAAGGAAACACCGGATATTGAGTTAAATCATTCTTACTCCTATCTCCTAGACTGTTGTTATATTAATTTAAATGTTTCCAACCATAAACATGATGGTCATTACCTATTTATGTATTGCAGATACTCGTAATTACTTATGACACCATTCTGCCACTGCAAAGTCATCACATCTTGGTCTCTGTTGTTCAATTTAAGTTCGGGATGCTGTATTAAATGCGTGTGCAATTTATCACGTTCTTCTTCATTTAACAACTTTAAATAGATATGCCTCTCTTTGTTATCATCACTGGAAATATAATACATTTCTAAACCCTGAAATTACAATATTCAACTATATTTATCAATTGTTGATTTCAATTGTAATATTACTGTGTGTTGCAACAAAAACCTCCTTTTGAAAATGCGCTGAATACAGCACAGTTTGATTTTAATAATGGGATACTGAAATATCATAAGTCAAATAATATTAAGAAATAAATGCGTTTTATTTGTATTTACTGTTTCTATATTATTATATGGTTGAAAATAGAGTCTAGAAGTTGATAATACCACTCTTCCTGGATTAATTACCAATGGTGTAATCTTATTTGCATGTGTTTCCAATATAACTTCTTCATATAGATCCAACCACAATGGATCAAAACTTATTCTTGAATGTCTTGAATGTACAATGGTTGCAATCTGTAAATAGAAAATATCTTAGATTTTTATGTATATACTTTAAAAAATGTATAAATATTAATATTACCATATCATCTTGTTCACTTGCATTTAAAGTTGTAGCCCTCTTCAATTGGCAAATCTGTCTTAAACAATAAATACTATTGGCATATGTAAGAGAGATAATAAACTTTCCATTATCACAAAACTTGTATGGTGCAATAATATTTCTCTCTAACATCTCAATGTATTGTTTTGTTTCAATACGAATCACATTATCATTATTAATAAACTTATTGCTGCCTTTCCATTCTTCAATCAAATAACATTCTTTAAATGGTATTTTAATCAAAGGCTTCACATTGTCTTTCGGATCAAAAACCAATGATTTTGAACATAGCTTTAATCTGCCTTCTACCTTCTTAAAATCAAAAGTTTTAATTGTTACATCAGTAGTAATAAGTACAGCACTAAAATCTTCGAAATAAATTTCGCGAGGATCCAAGAGTAATAAGGAGAACCTTAAGGAAGACATTTAAAATTCGTTTGAATTGTGCAATGTTTTGAAAAAACCTACCTTCCTTTATCCATGATTAAATGTAATACAAATTAATAACGATATGTGCGTCATTTGTTGACTTGTGCGAAGAACAAATTGCCACCAATTGATTCCGATTATATATTGTTATGTTATGAATAAACATTGCGACGCTAACCTAATTTTACAGAGTGGGACTAATTGTTATTTTGTTAAATAAAGTAAAGCTCAGATTTTAACGAAATATTACTATTTAATTAAGTCAATAATAATTGATATGAATCTCTTATTAAAAAAATACTGTTTAATTATATTTGCTAAATCTATTGTTTATATAGATTTGATCTTGCTTAATAAAATGTTTTCTTTTGTGTCCAAATTTCGGAAATTTAAGTCTATTTTAAAACATAAATTACGTTATTGCTATTTAATACTAAGAATATAAAATATTCATTATTATGTAACATTGATTACATTCTAACTCATTAAATAATAGAATTTAATTAGCAGTCTATAGAAATATTATGATAATATTAATAAAATTTTATGTACATAAAAAGATTTGTTATTTTAAAAATGTTTCTAACTGAGTGCGAATTTTAATATCACCCATCCAACAGATATTGGTGACACAATATGCTGAACTTTTGTAATGTGTTACATATTTTTGTATGAACTATTGTTTAAATTTTATTTAAATAAGTAATATCGTCCACGAAGGCCCATAGGCCAATACGGCCCATTTAACATTTGACGCTGAACAGCACAAATGAGGTTGCCTGCATATTTAAATTATTCAAATGTTTGCAAAAAATAAGTTAATTTATTTACCTGTATAATATTAATGAATAATTAAAATTATACATTTTAGAACATTATATATATTCTATCACATGAAATATATTTTTAAGATAAATAATTAAATTTGATAAAATTAAAAAAAAAAGAATTTTATTTTAAATTATATTAAATACAAATATTAAATGAAATCACTTCTTCTGCTTCTTCTTTTCAGCTTCTTCCTCCTTTTCTTTCTCAATTTGTGTAACATATTCCTCAATAGTTGCACTGTCAAGCATCTTCATCTTCTGTCCCCTTCTCATTACAGCAATTTCCAAATTCTTTTGGCCAGATTGTACAACTTCCAGCAGAGCTCTGATTGCTAACTTAACAGTTCCATTTTCAGTGGAAACTTCTTCATCAGTATAGTATTTCTCCAAAAATTCCTTAACAGTTTTTGCAGATCTGCCAGTGGCATTTGCCTTCCATTCATAATAAATTCCAGATGGTTCTGTTTGATACAGGTGAGCAACTCCATCATAGTCAAATCCACCAATCAAACATGACATTCCAAAAGGACGTCTGCCATTGCTCTGGGTGTACTTCTGTTTAAGACTTGCAATGTAACGTGTAATGTATTCCAAAGTAACTGGATCTTCTACAGTCAGTTTGTGTGATTGACATTCAATTTGGGCCCTGTTTATGAGGATCCTAGCATCTGCTGTGAGCCCAGCAAAGGCCATAACAACATGATCATCTAGTAAGCAGATCTTTCTTACTGTACGTTCCTCTTGGAGTTTAGCCACAGATTTTTTCTCAACTCCCAAGACTACGACATCGTTCCCACGTACGCCGACCTGTTATGAATTATTTGAAAATACGGTTTTTAAGTTTATGTTTGCATTGTCATTGCGAGGTTAGGTTAGCTTACCGCAGTGGAGCCCTTCCTTACAGCCTCTTGTGCATATTCTACTTGCAATAAATGACCATCAGGGGAAAATACGGTTATAGCACGATCGTATCTTGCAGACATGTTTGTATTTTAAGCTAGAACGACTTTACAAGATTCAACGACAGAATATTTTGCTTTGTAATACAAACGACAGATTCAGACAGTTTGTAACTTTGACAATTATTAAGTCTTTTATAATGAAGTGTTACGTATAGGTGGCGCTACATTCATAATTTCTATTATTTGTTCTTATTGCATATGAATGTTGATAGAATTGCAACAATTTATTCTTATTTATTTTTCTACATTCAATGTACATTTAAGAACATTTGAATATTTTTTTTATTAACAATAACAGTAAAATCAATGACGTGTATAAGATTTCCAACAGTATCTTATCAGACGTCAAACTTGTTTGCATTTGTTCACATTTCTTCGTGGTAACAACAGATTTTTTGCGTTACGGTAGGATGACACGCGGCCGGTGATAGTCAAGACTAGAACACGTTTAATTTTATTCTTGAAATATCTTAGTAGTAGAGTTTATAATTGATTTAGTTAATAAAACAAAAGAGAAGAAAGAAACATGAAGTGTTTAAATCTATTGTTAATTGTTTGTGTGTTATTCATAAACACCTGTTGTGCACATGGAGATCATGGGCATTCCCATGATGAGCCCAGTCATTACAAGTATTCTCGGGAGGCCAACATTGGACATCAACATGACCATCATAACCAACATGAAGAAGAACATCATCACCACCATGAAGAGGAACATCATCACAAACCAAAAGTTATAGAAGTCAACAAAGACATTTGGTTGCATGCAATGGGATCAACTTTACTTATCAGTGCAGCACCATTCTTTATTCTTTTCTTTGTACCATTGGACAACACTGAGCAAAAACAGCCTTTACTTAAAATTCTACTTGCCTTTGCTTCAGGAGGATTGCTGGGAGATGCTTTTCTGCATTTGATACCACATGCTACAATGCATGCAGAACCACATGATCATAGTCATTCGCATGGTCATTCTCATGAAGAAGGACATGCACATGACATGTCAGTTGGATTATGGGTTTTAGCTGGAATTGTTACATTCCTGGTTGTTGAAAAGTGTGTAAGGATTATGAAGGGTGGTCATGGACATTCCCATGGAAACAAATCTGTTAAAAAAACTGATTCCAAAGGAGATAGCAGTAAAGCTAAGAAGGCTGCTGAAGAAACTAAAGAAATAAAAGTGGCTGGTTACTTAAATTTGGCTGCAGATTTTAGCCACAATTTCACTGATGGATTGGCTATTGGATCTTCATATTTAGCTGGTAATGCTGTTGGAGTAATCACAACTATCACAATTTTATTTCATGAAGTTCCTCATGAAATTGGAGATTTTGCTATATTATTGCAATCTGGTGTGTCAAGAAGAAATGCTATGTTACTGCAGTTGACAACAGCATTGGGAGCTTTGGCTGGAACTGCTTTATCTCTGCTTGTTCAAGATACAGCTGGTAATATGGGTACCAACTGGATTTTACCATTCACAGCTGGAGGTTTCATCTACATAGCTTTAGTATCTGTTATTCCTGAATTACTTGATGAGGAAAAACCTAGTTTTATGCAAACTATATACCAAGTTGCAGCTTTATTAGTTGGAGTATATATGATGGTACTCATTGCTGAATATGAATAGTACTTTAATTAAATGTTTAAAACTAAATTTTTTAAAATTGTTTTCAATAAATATATATTTGTATCATTAAAATTAAATCACAATATACAAAATCCAATGTCTTGAAATATTATTTGCCTAAAAATTCTTTTATTTGATCAAAACAATAATTGGCTTGCTCAATAGATTCTGTGTTGGAATTTTTGTTTCCTGAAACAAAAAATAAACAAATGACTTGAAATAATTGAAGCATGTTAAGTGATCTCACCAATTTGCCATGCTTGTTTGCAATATTTTTTTGCCACTTCAGCCATTCCACTTTGCAAATAAATCAAACCAAGATTTGCATGTACCACACCTACATGTGATTTATCCTCTAAGGCTTTACCAGTTTTAACAGCATCCTTTAAAAATTCTTCTGCCTTTGCCATATCACCTGCCCTCCAACTGGTTATTCCCAAATCATTTAATAATAACATGCTTTGTTCTGTATTTTTCCCTTGCACATCACAGCACACATTGTATGCTTCTTGTAAATGCATTTTAGATTCTTCTATTTTGCCATGATCTAACAAGAACTGAGCATACCAATCCTGTATGATACCATACAAAATTTTTGAATCAGTGCTTGCTTTTCTTTTACTGTCAATTTTTTCTAAACACCATTTGTAACCCAGGGCAGCCTTTTCTTCCTGTGCTAATAAATGGCTAATACGAGCCAATTTCAAACTTACATGGATCATCTAAAATGTGAAAAAATATAATTTTCTAAATTTAACTAGTAAATTCATTTTACTTTTAAATCATCCTCTTTTACTCCTGCAGCAAAAAGCATTTGCATTACACTAACAAAAAGCTTTTCAGATTTTTCCAATTGGTGTGTATCCATAGCCAAATTGGCCATTAAGTCATAACAATATAAAACACCCTGGCTATTTTGTTGTTGCTGTGCTAACCTTAAAGCTAGGTGAAGCATTTGCTCTGCTTTATCAAACTGTTCCCTCTGGTTGCATAGTATTGCACGTTTAATGGTCATAATTAGTTCAGATTCCTTTTCTGCATCATCCTTCTCAAAACCTAACCAACCAAGAATACTTAATCCAAAAATTATTTGTTGTTTGAGCCACGGTTTTGGTAACAAATTTTGTGGAATTTGTACTTGCTTCACTTTTGCAACACACAATGGAATAACATTTAATTTATTATATCTGAAGAAGACTTTTATCGTGTTTTTAAACATTTTGAATGATGCAATTGACGTACTCAACAGCTGTCAAATATCAGTTTAGTGCAAAACACATGGATGCCAAATTTTTAGTTATAAAAATCAATTTCCAACTGATGTGGTGTCTGATATCGTAAGGACATAGGACTGCATAATACCCAGAGGAATGTAATGAATATAATAAAAAAAATATATAAAAAATCTAGGACATAATTGTAGAAACTTTTATCTAATATAATTAGGATTTAATTGATAAAGGATTCAATGGATGTATCTTAGATATAAAAAAAAATCAGGTTTAATAAAGAGAATAATTTTAGGCTGTTTTTTTATTAAATGTAGTTATTTAATTAATAACCATAAGATTTCATTACTTCAACGTATGGTTTACTGATTGGGGCAATTTTCTCCTCAGCCTTTTGTGTGATCTTCCTCAATTTGCCCTTCAATACAGCAGTCTTGCGACCCTTAGCGATACGCTTGGCTTCCAGGGAAGATACAACGTTCTTGTATTTCCATCCAACTTCGCTAGCCAAACGTCCAACGCTGCAGTACTAAAATAAGTGAAAAGAAATATTAAATAAAGTGGCTATTAAAAAAGAATATTTAAATCTTACTTTGCGGCCTGGTTTAAGGCAGAGCATACGCATAGCATGGGGGACAACCAAACGTTTCTTAGAGTCTAAGAATGGTGGGACACCTTCATAGGTCTTCAACCTATCAAGAGCTTTTTGGCCACGGTGCAATTTGTGTGGCAACATACCTGCAAAAAGAAAATGTATTTATATAATATAACACAAATAGAAATATCAATAATAAAAGATAAGAATACAGTGACTGTTGAAGTTGTGTGTGAGCACAAGCTATATGAAGTTCAGAGGTGGAAAAGCAAAAAGTTAATGTTTTACTATACCTCTCACAGCCTTCTTGAAAATTTTGGAAGGAGCCCTGAAGTGGAATGGTCCACGAGCTGGGTTAACATTGCAACGTTTGCGCAAGTAAGCCAAGAACTTCAGTTTGTTCCTAGAAAAGGGAAAATAAATTGTAAATATTCAATCATCAAATATTTTTACATAGAAACAGTGTCCAATATATATAATTAAGTAGTAAACAATACAATTTGTTTATGTCAATAATTCATTTATATATATAAAATCTAATTACCTGAAGAAGTTTCCAGAAATGTCCATTTGTTCACATCTTAAAACAGAGACTTTGTGTCCCTCCAAAGTTTTCTTGGCCACAACAGCCGCCAAACGGCCCAAAAGATGGCCCCTGGCATCAATAACTATTTCCTACAAAATAAATAATAACGTTAATAATAATGTTAAAAACCGTAAAAGTTTTATGTAATATCAGAATATCCGCACAAAGTGATGAAGTACACCTATAAGTGTGCTTCAATGAAATTGTAAACACGTGCGTACGTAGCACGCCAAGAGGTTAAAATATAAAAATTATCGGTGAATCACACATAAAATGTACAAATAACATTACAAACTAATAGTTTGTTAGATTTTACATCGAAAAATCGGCAAAGTTTTTCATAAAAACACTAGTAAATACCAAAAAACATTATTTACCTTAGCACTAAAGCCCGACATGTTTCAGCTCAACACGGAAAAGGAACTGCTTGAGCCTCGGTGCAAAATGGCTGAACTCCCTACCAACAGAATAAAACAAAAGTTTACTACAAATAAAATATCTAAATATGATTTCTCTATTTTTGCAATTATATTTATATTAAATACATAAAACTAAAAAATGTTTAGATTTTTTTACTAATTATTGTACATTATATTTAATTTATCCTTTCTTCAAAGTAATTTACAAATATTATTTGAGGGAAATTTTTTATAATTCTCTTCTAATATTGGTAGCGCTGATCAGCACTAAATTTGAATTTATTTTTTATTGCTGAATTAAATAAGTTGCTTTCGTAAATTATTCAATTAAAGTAGCAAATAAAAGTTTTAATTGCTGATTTATATACATATGATTTATAATTTTGTTTGGTAAAAATATAGTAATACAAAGTAAATTAAACTAAAATTCCCATATATATTTCTTCTATATTTATTGTATTTCTAAATTATTACAATCTATTAATAACAATGATATTAAAAATATGTTAATACAAATATGTATTTCTACTTATAACAATTAAAAGCCATTCCAAATATCGTCTTCTACATCAGATGGAATATCCTCGTCTTTTGGAAATTTATCAAATGCGCTGGTGTCAGTGGAATTTTTCAATTTGGGCACATACGGAACTTTGGAATATTTTCTTTCTCGTAATTTCTTCCAATCAAAATCAGCAAACCATTTATGGTTTCTTATATCATCAATTCCGTTTCTTTGATTGCCTAAACGTTCGCTGGCAATCGATTTGCATAATTTCCTAATAAGTTGTTGAGCCGTTTTGGGAATTCGACTAGGAAACATAACATTGTCAATACCTTTTATAATCAAAGTGTATGTTTTCATGAAACTGGGATCGTTTGATCGGAATGGCGTCTTGCCCACAAGTAACTCAAAAATGAAAATTCCTAAAGCCCAGTAATCCACGGATTTATCATGACCACGATTATACACAATTTCTGGTGCGACGTATTCCGGAGTTCCGACGAACGTAAAAGTTTTCTCGCCGTTCTTAAGATGCTTGGCGAAACTAAAATCTATCAACTTGACATATCCAAAGTTGTCGATTAACATATTTTCAGGTTTCAAATCCCGGTAAACGATATTGCGTCCGTGTAAATGTGCTATAGCTTCTATGACACAACCGGTTAAGAATTTTGCCTTACTTTCATCAAAGCAGCGACCTTTTTGCTTTTGCAGCAATCCCCATAAGTCTCCTCCCAGACAACTCTCCATTAAGTAATACAAATACTTTTGGTTTTGGAACGTTTTGTAAAGCTTAATGATGAAACAGCTATCGCATGATAATAAAATGTTTTTCTCGTTAAATGCATGCTGCCTCTCTTCAGCCATATTCTTTTTCTTCAAGTATTTCAAAGCAAATACAAAATCTGGACGTTCTTTATGTTGGACAAGCTCCACTCTCCCAAATCCTCCTATACCTAAAGTAGTTATAAGATCCAAATCTGTAAGTTTTAGATCACTATATTCGTTAGAAATGATTACGTTGTCTGTATGAGTCTGGTCAGGTTCATCTTTATCAATAAATGCTTTCAAATCACCCAAATAATCGATAAAATCTTGTCTGCACAAGCTTAAGCATTCAACGCCAGGCGAATCGGCCGTGACTGTTGCTTGCCTGCAATCTTCTTGTAGTAAAGCACGTTCACCAAAAAATTGGCCTCTGCTTAATGTGGCTACTTGTCCTTTACCATCGATACTTACACATGCAGTACCAGCTTTTATGATATAAAATTTATCTCCTTTGTCTCCTTGTTTTACGATCTCAGTATTTGTTTGGAAAAAGTCTTGCTTTAATAAATTAATAATCTGTTTCAATTTTTGATCATTTGCCTTGTTCACGGCTGGGACATTCCTGAGAAATGAGAGCAGTTCTTTCTCTTCAGCAAGGGCGTTTTTAACTGTGATCTGTAGATACGCTTGACCATCAAGAATCCAAACTCGACCTTTTGTCACTGCCTTAATCGTTGCCAAACGCTTGTTGTTATAGAGTATCGCAAGTTCTCCGAATATTCTGGAGTCATTGAATGAATTATATAATTCGCCATTAATAATAATTTCATAACGGCCCTCGGCGGAAACAAATAAGTTATCACCATCTTCTCCTTGTTTTATTAATATTTCTCCAGGAGATACTTCCCTAGGATACATTGCACTAACAATAGCCTGAAGCTGTACACCTTTGAAGATATTGCAAAGAAATTCATTGTTACTAATTGCTGTTTCTATTATGTGCTCATCTCTAAAAATATAAATACGTGTTAAGCGAGTGTATTACTAATCTAATTAAATATAACTTACGCTTTAGATTTGCTGTGCTTTGGAATTTCTTTATTGAAATCGATTTTGCGAGCGCGGAAACCACCACGACGCTCTATATCTTTTAACTCTTCGGATGTTAATCGTCTTTCTGCTTTTTCATTACTCGAATCAATACTTTCGTCTTCTGTTTTAACTGGCTTACTGCAGTTATCATCTGGATTTTTTATAACTTCAACTTGGACCTGTGTTTGATTTGTTGGCGTATCGGATTCATGATTTTTATTAACTGTGTCATTTCTAATTGAATTTTCCTGTATAAGTTTCATCTCAATATTATCTGCCTTTTCGACTGAATGTATGTTATTAATACTACTTACATTTTTGTTAGCGTTTTTAATGGATCTTTTAGTATCTTCATTAGTTGTATCGATAACTTCGGGTTTCCAATGATCGGACCGTTTACACGGACAAAATATGCGTAAGAAAATACTCATATTTACCTTATGAAAAACAAGATTTAAGTGCAGAGGATACCTCTGTCTTATCTTTAATAAATTTATAGATTAGATAAATGTAATTATTTCTTTTTTTTGATTCCATTGCAATGTATAATATCTTGACACAGTTTTTATCGAATCTAGATCAAATATATTCACATAGTTTATTAATAAAGAGGTAGATAAAATTTTATATATATATTTACGTATATTATATATTTATTTAAATTAGTTACATATCAATAAAATATTATGTATAATAAGCAGGCATTTAAAAGTCTTCCCAAATATCGTATTCCGGTGGATTAATATTGTCTTCCTTAAATTTCTCAAGGAAATATCGTGTATCGGTGGAACTGCTTATTTTAATTTTGAGCGGAGTTTTCATTTTACGAGCGATTAACTTTTCCCAATTAAATTTAGTAAACCATTTATGCTCTCTAATATCATTAGCACCATGTAACAAGCATCCTAAACGCTGTGATTTGTTTGTCTTGCATAGTTCTTTTATAATATTCACAGCTCTCTCGCTAATCTTAGGAGGAAAATTGACTGCGTCTATTCCTTTTATAATCTTATTATAAGTTTTCTCGTAAGTCGGGTCAGCCGAGGCAAATGGTGATCTTCCAACAAGCAATTCGTAAATGAGGACACCATATGCCCAGTAGTCTGCACCTTCGTCATACCCTCTTTGAAATATTACTTCCGGTGATACGTATTCCGGTGTGCCCATGAACAGGTAGCACTTCTTACTTTTTGTAATGTGCATTGCGTTCCCGAAATCTGTTAATTTTGCATATCCATTTGCATCTATCAAAACATTTTCAGGTTTAAGATCAAGGTATACTATGTTCCTTTGGTGTAAATATGCTAATGCTTCCAAAATGCAAGCCGCCAGGAACATTCCGGTTTTCTCTGTAAAGTAACCATGTTCTTGGCTGGTTCTCCAATACCACAGATCACCTCCCAAACAGCTCTCCATCAGAAAATACAAATACTTTCTATCTTGATAGGTTTTATACATTTTGACGATGAAATCATTTTCACAGGACATGTGTATTTGCTTCTCCATTATAGCTAATTTTTCCATTTTCTTCTTGACTACATTGTCCTTTACAAGATATTTTAAAGCAAATACTAAATTTGATTGCCTTTTGTGCTGGACCAGTTCAACTCGTCCGAAGGCTCCTTTTCCAATTGTTACCACGCGTTTTAAATGTGATAACTCCAGATTAGCATATTCACTCGATTCATTTATTTCTATCTCTTCATCAACAATATCTTTTTTGCTGAGAAAAGTATCTAAATCGCTTAAACATCTGTTGAAATCTAAACGAGATAAAGTCAAGCATTCTACTCCAGGTGAATTGGCTGTTACTGTCGCTTGTCTGACATCATTTTCGATTAATGCCATTTCTCCGAAATACTCTCCTCTACTCTTAGTAGCCACTCTTCCTTGACCTTCAATAGTAATATTTACGGTGCCAGTTTTGATAATATAAAACTTATCTCCTATCTCTCCTTGCTTTACAATATCAGTGTTTTCAGTAAAGAATTCATTTTGTAACAATACTAATATTTCTTCGAGTTTTTGTATTGAAGCTGATTTGACGGATGGTACCTTTTGTAAGAACGACAGCATTTCCTCCTTTTCGGCTTTTGCATTTTGAATTCTAATTTTTTGATAGACTGATCTATCGAGTATCCAAACTTTGCCGTTAGTTCTTGCTCTTATCGTTGCTAAACGAGTGGCATTATGAATCAATGCAAGTTCACCAAATATTCTATTGTCGGAGAAAGTGCCCCACAGAACTTCGTTAATTATAATATCATAAGAACCACTTGCTGAAACATACATGTGGTCTCCCTCGTCACCTTGTTTTATAATAATGTCATCCCTCATAACATCTTTGTGATACATAGACGATACAATAGTGTTCAACTGCTTTCCTTTGAATAAACTGCTAATAAATTCATTGCATTTTATTGCTTCCTTTATTATATATTCATCCCTAAAAATAAGTAATTTTGTGTTATTTATAGAATGACGCAATATATTTTAACATGTATATTTGTATAGTAAAAGTTTAATATTATTATTTTCCATATAAAAAATATAATGAAATTAAACAAGGTATATTACAAAAACTAAAATAAATAGAAAATATAATGATAGTTTATTTTATAACATACTCTTTGGATTTTTTGTAGTCGATCACTTTTACTTGTTCATCAACATTTTCTCGTTGTACACCTGAACGTCGATTCTCTTTTTCTTTGGGTTCATCTGTAATTTTTCCCTTACCCCTTTTAAGGCACAACATTTTAACTAATAGTAAGATATATTATGCCAACTCAATGACTATTCCCCTACATTTCTTATCATAAGAATTATTCTTAGATTAAAATTATCTCTATGATATATGAAAACAATATAAAAATTAGTTACTGGAATTCGTACAGCTTTTATTTCAAAATAAACGATAGAACGGATTAACAATTTTTGATTGCACAATTAAAAAAATAATATATAAATACAGAAATATACATTTAAAATATGTAATTGTTTATTTTATAATACAAATTACAATATACTGCAAACATTCAACTTAACTAGGTTTGTATTGGGCATTGCCGGAGAGCAGTTGTTGCGCTGAACGTGCAGCAATGTCCGGATCGTATAATAAAGGATTGCTGAAAGTTGTCGGTGGGACGTTCTGAGGATAAGAAGCGGATGTGTACATGGGATTCACTGGACTTGTCATATATGTTGGTTGAACATTTGTAAACTGATGTTGCAATGGTTGGGTTATTGGGTTATTTTGATTGAAGTTGGGATAAGAATAGTGCACATTGTCGACTTGCGGTACGCTGAAGAAAGGAGCAGTGTTTGGAATGCTTTGCATCGCAGCAGGAGGGTTGTTATTAGATAAGATCTCCTGATTACACAAATCGTTGACATTACTTTGTGTTGTCGGAGTTTGTACAACAAACTCATTGGGAACAATCATTTCTTGATTAATCGTCGGGGCAATGGACGTCATTGGTTCTATCATGGGACTCGACATGACTGGGTTCAATGGTGGATTCGAAATTATAGGATTTATGGGTTGTGTTGGAACTAATGGATTATTAATAGCATTTACACAAGGCGCAGTTACAGATGGCGGTTCAGTGATTGGAGAGGGCCTTTCAACTTCTACGCCTGTTGAAGGTGGTAGTATTACAGTGTTAACACGATTTTCGTTTTCCAAATTCACGTTAGGATTCATTGGTGGTGGTAGTAAGTCAATTTTCTTGGGCAAATTGTCCAATTGTAAATCCTTCAACTGCGAATTTATGACATGCGTTTTATTAGGCTCTGGTATATTATCTCTTATTGGAATCCTATGCAAGTATCCATAACCAATCCCACAGCCAATACTGCCTTCACCACCCCAAGCAGCATTTGGGGTTATTGTAACTTCTCTGCAAGTATCTTCTTGACTATTATATACATATAATTTCAGACTTCTCCCTTCATGTGTCTCCACAAGTGCAAATAAATCTTCATTTTCATGTAGTGCAGATTCTGCTCCTATTATGTAATCATTGAAAGATCTCAAACCAGCAAGTTCAGCAGGAGAGCTTGGATGAACTTCTAGTATGTGCCAAACGTTTTCATTAGCACCTTCAAATGAACAAAATCTAATACTAACTCCTAATAAACCTATGCCACCCCATGTTTCACTGGGTTCAATTGTTACACTCCTAACAGATTGAGATTTACTGCTATAAACTGTAAGTGGCAACTCTTTACCTAAAAAATAATTACATTAAGTATAACAATCATCATTACATAGTCTTTAACATAAGTTTTTTGTGAGATTAATATGCAAATTTGATAGATATGTCAATAAACTTAAGTAAAAATCTATAAAATACTTAAATGCAACTTTTTTAAATTACAAAATTGCACTGATAGATTTATAAACCAACATACCAATTCCATTTCGTAAAATTTGTTTAAATGTATCATTGTCTTGATCAAGTCTTGTTCCATTAATTGCTACTATAAAATCAAAAAATGATTGTAGTCCAGCCACACTTCCAGGAGAATTCTCTTGCACCTGGTGAATATAATGATTAAAATATGTACTATTAATATTAATTTATTTCAGTGTATTCTTACTCTCAACACATGATATCCTTCTGTGCCACCGCCGGGTATATCAACACTGTTGGAATTGCCCATAATTTTTAACTAATAAGGGTTCCGTGAAAAAATTACGTGGCACAAGAATTTTAGAACATAGCATAACAAACGATGCGTCTACCAGGCGATGACTGTCATTCATGACAGATGTCATGTGGACAATTTTTTACCAACATAATAGTAACAATAAAATATTAAATTAGGATACATTTTGTCTAGCTTTTTTAAATTACTTAATTAAATATAAAGTTATAAACCTACTAATATAATGTATAGGATGTACAGAAACATCTATGGTTGGTAGCCCTTTGCAGCAGAGCAATTTATTTTCTTATTATGTTATTTTGTTGAGTTTGTAGTATGATTATTTGTTGCAATAAATGTTATTATTATAATGTATTAAAAAATATATTTTTCTTTTTTAATGCTCTAATGCTAGATACTTAAAAGTTATTATATATTTAATTTTAATATATCCATAAATTCGGTTTTATTTAAAAATTGATATTATTCAATTTTACATTGCATTTTAATAATGAAAATACATTAAAGTTAACTTTTAAGAACATATAATGTATGAATTAGTAATATGATGATTTTATTTAACGAATTAAGCATAATATATATTTTATAAAACTTTTGGTACAAAGGATTTCAAATATTAAGAGATGCCTTTAAATATATAATAATTAAAGTTTCATAAAGTAAAATTAATAAATAGTTTTTAAATATTTGTTTTAATTATTTTTTGAAGGATCAAGGAAACATGCTTTAAAAACAAAATTGAATGTAGATTGTATTGCCTATATCTGAAACGATATGACCCGAACAGTAATTCGACTGTTTACGTAAAAGAAATGGCGGAGAAACGAGGCTTCTTTGTTATTATAAAATTTGTGTTCTATTTATAATACATTTTGTCGAGAAGAGTTTCGGGTCGTTCACGATAAATCAAATGTCTGTAGTGATGCAGATATTGCTTCGTAGTCAGGTAAGTGCAATCAATGATTAATTATATCTCCTTATGTGTTTATAGAATGGTAAATCAATATATCAGCTGTTAGTAACAAACAAGTAATATTTTGTTTTGTATCTTTTAATTTTTGTCTGTCACCTTGCAAGAATGCTTTGGAGTTAATAAACAACGCACAAACACAACTTTTTGTTGATAATAGTGGATAATAATTCTTTGCTTTATGCTATTGGTTAAAAAATAACATTTGCTTAATTTGTTTGTTTACTTTTGTAATCAGTGTTTAAAAAAATATTGTAGTATTAAAAAAGTTACTTATTAATTACAAGTTAGTATATTTCGAATTAATTCAGTACATTATCTTGTCTTTGTTCATATTGATCAAGACATTAACCTTTGCACAACTGATATTTACACAATAAAAGAGGTTTTGTTTTATTTTTTGTAATGATACATTATGAAAATATCTATTATTGCTATATATTTGTCAGTGGCATACATGAAAGATAATTTATTGTTGAAATGTTCGTGATAGATAACAAAACTTCAAATCAAGTGCTTTGCCATATTTCTGCTTTTAACAAACAATATTGCACCATCTGTTAATTCTTAATCAATTTACTGATAATATATTTATATATAATCAAGTCTATATTCCAATTTATTTAGTTGCTAATAACTAGTTGTGTTTGCCTGTTACAGATCGAACAAATAACATTTAGGAATTAAATATGCAAAATTACGCTTCACTGCATGATGCTGACCAGGAGGAAAGTGGTGTATTGTTCCATGTTGCTGAGCCATCTAGAGCTAGATGGAATCACATAGAGGATTTAGATTCGTTTTTCACAAGACTCTACAAATACCATCAAAGACATGGATTCAAGTGCATGCTGGTAGCAGAAATTCTGGAATTAGTTCAGTTTGTATTCATTTGCGGATTTACGACATTCCTTATCCATTGCGTTGATTATCCTGTACTTTTTAAAGAAAAACCACCGCCAAGTGGAAATTCAACAAAGATTGCTATAAGCGACATAATACTTTCGCCACAAGAATGCAGTAATGATTTTGGTCTGACCACATATATTGGAATTATTATTGGGGTCGTAGTATGGGCATGGCGTTTAGTATGCCGTGTTTATCATTTGGTGCATTTCTGGGATGTAAAGCAGTTCTACAATTGTGCCTTGGATATATCAGATGATGACTTGGATAATATGACTTGGCATGAAGTTCAAACTAGGATAAGAGCTGTGCAATTGGAACAGCAGATGTGTATCCATAAAAAGGAGTTAACTGAACTAGATATTTACCATAGAATTTTAAGGCAGAAAAATTATTTGATAGCTATGACAAATAAGAAATTGATACCGCCAAGGGTTAATGTACCTATAATTGGCGAAGTTGTTTATTGGAGTTTAGGATTAAGATACAACATAAATTTATTGTTATTCTGCGGTCCTTGGGCACCCTTTGAAAATTCCTTTCATCTTAAGGAGGAATATAGAAAGCCTGCTGCTAGACATGAATTGGCAAGAAAACTTTCACGTTATATCTACTGGTTTGCAATAGTAAATATAATATTCTCGCCTTTAGTGTTGGCTTGGCAAATCTTGTACGCGTTTTTCAGTTACGCTGACCTTATGAGACGAGAACCTGGCAGCTTGGGAGTTAGATCTTGGAGTTTGTATGGTCGTATGTACTTGAGACATTTCAATGAGTTAGATCATGAATTGCAAGCTAGATTAAGTAGAGCTAACCGACCTGCAACTAAATACTTATCATCATTCAGCTCACCACTAGCCACAATAATAGCACGACCTATAGTATTAATGGCGGGATCTATTATAGCTGTGTTAATTGGACTTACTGTATATGATGAAGATGTATTATATGTTGAACATATAATTACAGGAATTACATTGTTGGGAGCTTTAGTTGCTGCTTTCAGGGCTCTAATACCTGATGAAACAGCTGCTTATTGCCCAGAGGCTTTGCTATCTAATGTTTTAGCGCACACACATTATTTGCCAAGTAATTGGAAGGGTCAAGCTCATACTTCCGGAGTAAGAAGGCAATTTCAGCAACTGTTTCAATATAGGATTGCGGGTGTCTTAGAAGAATTGGTTTCCCCGCTAATGACCCCTTACATTTTGTGGAAACACATTTACCCAAAGTCATTGGATATAGTAGATTTCTTCAGAAACTTTACAGTATCTGTGGTGGGAGTTGGAGATGTATGCAGCTTTGCTCAGATGGACGTTAAGAAGCACGGAAATCCAGAATGGCATGAAGTTGATAATACCAAGATACCAGATCAATATACCCAAGCTGAAGATGGAAAAACTGAATTATCTCTTATACATTTCACTCTTACAAATCCAAGCTGGCGCCCACCACCTGAAGACCAACAGTTTGTGGAAGAGGTTCAAACATCAAAAAGCATGAATCAACCGCAATCAAGTGTGAATTATTTAGGAGATTTATTTGATAGTTCAATTAGAACTGGTGCTGCGAGGGCTGAAGGGCCGCTTACTTCAGGTCCGAGCGATATGAGCTTGAGCACAATCTATTTGCATGACCTACATCACAGACAAGTAGGCTTCAGACAGCAGCAGCCTCATGCAATTGAAACCACGCCATTATTGTCAACTCTCAGTCAGTAATCTAGTCTTAAGTCACAAAATTGTATATTTATCTAAATTATTTCATATAGGTATACAAATTAATTAAATGTATATACATAATATATATTTACAAAATAAAGTGAATGTTCATTTGTCAATAAGAGTTCCTCGGACCTTTTTTAATTCATTTGCTTGTTGCTCCTGCTTCCTCTTGTTCATACCCTTCCTCTCCAATTGCTTTTCAATAATTCGTGCATTATTTGCATAACTGTCTGCAACTTCCCTCTACAATTGTAAATAAATTAAAACCTATTAAGAACTTTAAAAAACAATATATTTACCGCCTCAATTTCATCCTCCTCTTCATCAATGGTTGACACTGTCACTGAACTGAATTTGCCCATATTCTTGGTATGTTTTGTAACCATAATTTTCTTTGGTTTCTCAATTGTTACCTGATTATAAATATCTGTGGCAGGTCCTTCATTTGCTGAGTTAGTTACAGAACCATTGACAATAAAACTTACAAGACTTTGAGGATCATGTTTGTAATATAGTAGCAATGAACATTTTTTGCATTTGAGTCTATGTTGTCTTTCAATACCTTCGGGCCTTTTCAAATGGACTACTTCATCAGTTTCACAAATCATTTTGTGGGCATGTGCTTGACCATCCAAAACCCTGGCTCCATCCCTCTTTCGTAATGGCAATTTCTCTGTTGTACAATCTGAAAGATAATATTAATATTATGAATATCTAAAGAATAATAATATATACCTAATATAAGAGTCATTTGTCCACACAGGCAATAATAGCAATGCAATGGTTTTTCATCACTATACTCTTCTTGGTCTTTGGTGTCTGAACATGAAATACTTTTAGATATCACTTTTGGCATTTTTAACAGCTTATTATATTTTGTTAATTAAATCTTTAATGATGGTACTGAATTACACGCTATAAAGGTATACTATATAACTTTATGCCACTTTACGCGTTGGTTAATAACAACTACTTATCTCATAGAAAATATGAGGTTATATTTTGACATTTGTGTGGTGTATATTTGGTTGCCTGTTTACTTATAAATTAGTCTTGAACCTAGATTTATCCTAGGATTAACTTTATACTTAAGATGACATAAAATATCTAATAAATTAGAATAATGTGCAAGAAATAACTAAATGTATATGATTAACTATCAATTATTGTTATAGCAAATATTTCATGTTATTAGTTAATTCAATGCGGTAACAATGGTAACCAAATTTGACAGATCATTACTATACAATGATGGGTGAGGTCGTTGACACTTTCTGTCTGATATAAACAAACTAAAATTAATTTAAATATAAAGTAAACAAAAGTGACATAAATATGGCATTAAAAGATAAAGCTGAAGCGTACTTCGGCAATATAAATTCGATGGCAAATCGTATGACTATCGATATGAAACAAACCAAGCTGAGCTATGAGAACCTATGGCAAACATTATCCTATGAAGAGCAACAGCAAATTCTGAATCAAAGTATTATTAAACCAGAAATTTCACTCAAGTATCCCCATGCTAAAGAGTGTGATCCAAAGAAGACTGAGTTTGCAGTAAAGAAGATTGTGGATGATAACTGTATGTATCGTGATGAGCATTCAGGACCCTTCAGTTTTCATACATCTAGTCAAAGAGATCTCACAATATTCAGCAAGAAGATTAGTCCCAAGAAAGGAGTCAAGGTGATTCCTCCAAAAGCAATAGCTATTGTGATTCCTCCGAAAGTGATTATTGCACCACAGGAATCATCTGATGCTGATGATGGAGATACTGACTCTTTGAGTCATTTTTTACCAAAAACAGGACTGGATATGTTAGATAATTGGTGATTTTACATCTCAATTATGTTTTAAATACTCAAATATCCTTTTTGTATCCAAAGAAATAATGTACTCATATTTATAATAAACATTTTGTATTGCTTATGTATATAATTATTTTATTATAAACACCTAAATTACACATTTTTTAGTAAATATACTGTAAACTTAAAAAAATAATTTAATTAATCTAGAAAATTACTCATATTCAAAACAATATTTGTCTATTGTACATAAGTTCTATGGTCAGTACAGGTACTTCTCACCTATCTGCTTAACGATCACTCACACTTACGACCAATCGAGTTTCAACCTGCAATATGAAGAAATTCGAATTTTCTTGCATAATTTTACAACGATCAAATTCCCTATATAAGCTCGCTTATCGACTAATTCAATTAATGACAAAGTCGTCGAAATGGATTTCGGTCGTAAAGTGATGAGTACCTGTAAACACTTTTAAATTGCAACTACGGTAGCCTACGTTTCTTCAAGGATCAAAATACTTCTCTTGTTTTACCATTGAATGATGAAAGAATGTAGGCCTTATATTTATTGTTATAGAGGTATTGTGGATGAATTATGTACAAATATGATAGTGTGTGGTTCAGAAATTATTAGGGCGTTGCAAGTGGGTGTTAATAGTAATTAAAAATAATTTTATACATTATTTATATTTATTATGCAATATAATAATTATTTACAATCTTGTTTGATAGTTGGATAATTTCAATTGAAGTATTGATTGATTAATATCTTACTTAATTAAGTTTTACTGCGTTACTAGAAAAAAGTGAAGAAAATATGATAACAATTTTTCAAATATGACAACTTATAACCATAATAGTTATAAATCTGAAGAGCTAAATGGTGTTTATGTCATGCAACAATTCTGAATTGTTTCTACAGAAATGTTAGATTGAATTCAAGCTTTTACTAGTATATGAAACTGTAACTTCGATAAAACGGAGATGAATTCTCATGCAGTTTAGAAATGTTTCAATTAATTAGAACTCGATAACGGTAAATAACCCAAAAACAATTTTTTCATGGTAATAATTAATTAATGCAATAATCTATTTTTCAACAAATATAAATTTAGATAATCTTTAATTTTATATAATTTTGTTGAAAATTTGCTTAGTGTTAATCCTTTTCAATTGTTACTGGATTATCGCAACATTTGAAATTGAATAGGCATATTTTTTTGATAAAGAAAAATCTATTTAGATCAATATTGGAAGATCAATATTGGAATCAGTCCTTATCCGTGTGTTTTACATGGACTTCAATATTTGATATCGATATACTTTCGAAAATCTACTAGTGTTGTTTTTATGACTTTTCTTCAGTAGTGATACTGAAGCGTATTTACGAATCCTATTTTATTTATTTATAAAACAGGTTTTTTTTTTAAATTTGATAATACATACATATTTACACTGATTATCAAATTTTGAATGCATCTTTTAACTTTACCTCACATTTGTATCAGAAATGAAAAATGTAGATATAATGAATTCTTAGGAAGGGCCTGTAGGAAACACCAGTTGACCCGACGACTGGGTAGAGGTGTCAGCATCTCTTAGTTAAATTTATAGCATAATTAATATGTGATCTAGATTTGTAATTCTAATATTTTTTGTTAGCCCCAAACATTGTTTAGACTTTAAAAATTCTAGTGGATTCCTAACGGTTAAGACTACATGGCCGTCTTAGGAAATACATAATCATGAAGCTTGCAATTAATTTTTTGTGTGTATTATTTGCTATTATTTAATTAAAGAATTAAATGTGATTAATCTACAAATACGTTTGTATAACCTTTATGTTGACCATTGCTTACATCTAAGCAAATAAATAAGTAGTATTATTGCAGATAAAAACAGATGATAATCTAATGTTAAACTAGTTAAAAAATCTAATAAATAAATAACTAATATATAAATATTTGTTCACATTTAAAATTATTGTTCAGGATTTGTTTACTTTAGTGCTATTATGATGGACTTGTTTTGCAATAATCATAAAAAGTAATGAATACAAATGTACATTTCACTAGTTAATCTGTTGTTTTCTTAAGAAATGTTGATAGTTTGAAATATTATCTGAAAAAGATGGATCATGGTTTTTAAAGGTAAGCATTAGTTTTTTAGAGTAAATTAAATCGAACTATATCGAGTATATATAATGTTCGTAGTAGGCCTTTCGCAATGTTCTGTTATGGAGCTCCCACGTGTATAAAATTGAACGTAACTGACGTAAACATATCATCTGTGTCAGCCAATGAACTGGTAGTATTCAGCAGACGAATGTTTTGCTCCGTGCGCGGTTCGATTCGATGCGAACCCGTTCACAACTTATTCACTTATATACCTCCTATACTTGTCTATACTAAACCCAGTACATCGCGGTGGTTCGTTGCGGACGGTTCGCGATTTGTTGTTCGCGCCATAACGTGCGTAGTCTCATTGTTGTTGTTCTTGTCTGTGTATTATTATTATTGTACTTTCACTATCATGATATGCAAGTTGTTGTTGTTGTTTTACGAGTAAATTTTTGTAGCAGAGACCAACATAGTTTTTAGATTTGTGTTGTCATTGTTGTTGTTGCTATCGATATCGTTGTGCTATCATCTCGTTCCTTGTCATTTTTTGGCATACCTTATTGTCGTTCTTGCACCTTCGCCGCCTCCGGCAAACACCATTCGCAGAAGATGGACTTCAGTATGCTGAAGAGGCACGACAGGAATAACAGTAAGTGCATTTATTTACATGCCAACCCACCGATCATCATCGAGCGAATCCAATCAACTACATAATGCAATTCCTTCCTTCGACATCCTGCGAACCATATTTTGATTGATCCATTGTTATGTAATGATTAACTGTGTCCGAAGATCCATTCTGCGTTACTCTCCGTTTTTAGAAGTAAATATTTTGGATTAGCTTCCACTGTTTGGCATGTTCTGTGTATACAAGGTATTATATTTCAGCAATAACTATATAAGTTAAGACTTCACTTTTACAGACGGACAACTGACCCAAAATGTTCAAAAGACATCTCACACTGCATCAACATTAACAAATACTTTGTCCATTGAACAAAACAATACCAATTATTAATTAAAAAAGTTTTCTTCTTTAGAAATTTATGTTTGTCAGCTTACGAAAGTTAAGCAATTGTACTTGGATAATTGGAGAATTATATTCTTAACATCAAACATTTGTGTTAAATGAAGAGAAAAATTATAGCTACGACTATATAATGTTAATGCAAATTTCGAAATCTTGATTTGATATTCGGTTTAGTTTTAATAGTTTAATATTGTTATTCAACATTTGCAAATTAAACATTTCGGAGAAGCAAACATTCTGGATACACAGCATTTCGTTTTCCTGTAGGATAAATAAGTACACGTATGTGAATTTGTTTACATGATTTTCATCGAGTTTATATAGGAGCGTCCGTGGACTCATTCATAAACATGTATTGTTTAGTGTAAACAATCGGCTATCGATTTCACATTTATTTATCTTGTTTCTTCACTTTTTTGGCTAACCTTTTAAATCCATCCTCCCTTTGATATTTATGTTTTGAATTATTTATGAATCCTATAAGTAAAATTGTATTAAGAACTAAGAGAGTTGGTTTTTAATCAATAGATTGAATGAAACTCGAGCAAATATAGTAATGTTTTCTAACGCATTGTAATTCATTTCCGTTCATTAATGCTTTTTTTTATATGTATTTAAATACACGTAAAACCTCATGTAAGTAAATTGCTTAATTGGCCATAAATCAGATTGTGCAATCAATTATATTCTAATTAAAATGTTTATTTATGTGCGGAGTTATTAAGAGCGAACTGGTCTGTTTCATATAATTATCGTTAATCGATACAATACTACGTTGATCGTAACTTCTCGCTACATTGTCTTAAGGAACAAACAATAAAATTATTTGTCAACAGTTTTCAATACTATATACAATCCGAGCACGATGTAACGAAGAATGCAAGTCGTCGAGTTGAAAAATAAATTAATTGTAAGTTCTTTTGATGTGCAATTACTTGAATACTGTGTACGATACCAAGGACGACTAGAAAAAGGAGTCATAAATTGTCAACTTGGTGCTTCTCATTACAACAACGACTACTATTGAGAATCGATCGGAGAATATATAGCAGAATAAAAAAAAAATGCATCCCTCTTTGGATTTAAATAATTCATTTTCGTAGTATTCAGTACGATTCTTCGCAGAAACAAAGCTCGCTTGCAGATAATTTTCAGAAATAATTACGTAATTCTCCAAACAGTTGCAAATATTGTGTTGACAATGCTCTAGTTTGTTGTGTAAGGTTTATGATTCAATATGTTATGTGAATACTGCAGTATTGCGAGATCAATCGTAATGACTACGCATTTATTTTTATAAATCTGGAAATAGATCGTCATTGTGCTGTCCTTTTTGCTTCAATCTTTGTTAAGACAATTTAGACCCTCTTCTCTTTCAGCGCTTGTCAGATCCATTATATAATGGACGGGTTGTGTCTCTCCCGGGATTATTGTCCAATTATACACCTGAAACATTGCCGAAATAGTGAGCTACGAAGATCTCTGAAAAGCTTAACTTTTGCTGAACTATATAATTATTATAACCTTAGTTAATCAAGTATAAGTTTTAAATACATATAACAGCGTTATTTTACTGTAATTTATGTTCCGTTTTATATCTTAATTCGCAAAATTAATGAGGCGCAAAATTAATATAGCTACGTCAAATTGATTTGTGAACGTTCAATCATCGCATATATTTGAGGATTTTATTCGAGCCTTGACATTGATAACAAAAATAAACTAGAAATCAATGTCATGTTGTTTTTGCAAAGTAATATATTTTATTTGATCGTCGCCTATTCGAAACGCCGTTTGTCATTGAACGCATGAACTCCAAAAAAAAAAGTTAAAGTCTCTTATTTTCTGTTTTAACTATCTGCAAATTGATGGCTGCGCCTCATTTTAATTGGTTCGCACTTCGAATTATTACTAATATTCTTTCTGACGTTTTGCCACGCGTATCATTTACGCAGAAAAACTTTTCTTTTTAATATATTATTTATTTTTATTTAAAAAAAAAGCAAACAAAAGTAGAGCGAAAACATGCATTTAATTACTGAATGAAATTGACCTGATCGATTAATACGGATTATCCCTGACCTCGGAGTTTCTGCGCAGTATTATATTCTCTGAAAGATCGAATACGAAGTTCATTTTGTGTGGGTGCCCTATGCACCATGGCTTCGTGCCATTTTATTCTTGCAGCACGATTAACTGCCTTCATCGTCATCATACGAAATGCATCTTTCAATGAATGTTTTAAACTTACAACTGCAATTCTCGCTTCACTGATGCCATTAAAATAATTATATCTCAATTGACGTGGTATGTCACAATTTATTTATATATATGTCGTGTTTATGTGGGAAATCTTTGTATTGTTTGAAGTTACGAATCAATCCGTGTCACCTTCTCTTATCAGTGTTTGCAAAATCACATGTTTTGTTTATTTTCAAAAGAACTGATCAATCCTTGTTATATATTTTTTAGCTAAGTTGTTTAATATTATGTAAATTTTAATTAGTTAGAATTTTAATTGGACTGTTGCAATTATATTTGATCTTTTGTGGCTTGGAAACATTTCGCTAATTGTTTTTCCTGCTTTCGTCTCTAGCTTTTATTGGTATAGACAAGATCGCACTTTATCACAACACACAATCAGTACTGTAATATGATAAAATAATTATATAATCATTTATTTATGATTAAAAATGCAGATTTTTTTATTTAGAAATTCATTAATTAATAAAAAATAACTATAATAATAAATTTATTTTAAATCTATTAACATTTTAATATAAATTTAAAACATAAATAAAGTTTTATAAATGAATTGAGAATATGAATGAATGGAGATTGAGAATATTTCTTATCATAGTACGTTCAATTTTATATGAAGTATATTTTTTATCAGTCATAGTAATATTTATTGGTATATTTCTAAAAGTTTAACTATCTTGGAAACTTCTTTCATAGAACTGATTGAAAACTTTTTTTTAAAATTGATCGCACTTGCATGGTTAATTTTTTAATGCATTTTTTAATCATTCATTTTATTGCAAATTTTTGTCGATCGTTGACCGTATCCAATTGCAGTTCAAGGTTAAATTGCATGAATTTTGACTTTATTAACATTTCCTTTCGCTCTGCATTAATTAAAAAAACGATATTCGACCTCTTTCGTGCGAAAGTAAGGAATATTTGTTTTTTAACAATATTTTCATGTACAAAAATACCTTGTATAATCCGTCAATATCACGCTCGAAATCGAGGATTTTAAAACTGCATAAAAATAAACGTCACAGAAAGAGAGAAGATTATTTATGTAAAAAATGTGTACTGTTTTATAGCAATAAATCTACACTGATCGAAGCCGGATTGCTAGGTTTTGTTGTATAAAACGAAACTATTGTATGCAAACAAGATCGATTCATATCTTTTAAATAATACAAAATTCATTGTTAATACTATTGATAATCTTGAAACTTCCAGATTTTCCTAACAATATATTTTACTAATTTATTTATTACTATAATCGGAATTGAAAAGATGATGTAAAATCTGTGTTATTTGCGTATTTATGAATTCCCACATAAAGAAGAATGAAAATAGGACATGGCGTGTGTACGAGAATGCCTCTGTCCATTATTCATCACATTTTGACGTGTTTCGTAATAGGTTCAATGTTCAATTTGCCAAAAATAAAAGGCGTCCGGACCATGACACAAATTATTAGCGTGCAAAAGTATATTAGAAAGTGTAACAGAATATATGGAGAGACCCGATGTGGTGTTTGTATGTATATCCTTGTTTGCAATTTCACAATGAAGCAGCGGGAGGGAAAAACGTTGCGACAACAGACAGATAGAAATACACGTAGAGAACAGAGAAAAGAAAATTTCTACCTACAATTAAAAGTGCAGTCGACTCGATCCACCGATTTCAATTTATTTGAGCGCGCGACTTGTTGAGCAACCTTTGTTTACCTTTTGTTTAAAGAAGGTGAACGTCTTCATGCAAATATGTTCCCCCTTTACTTCGTACATCTTTTTTTATTGCGACTTGGAGTACGAAGTTCCTTGAACTAGGAGGAGGGGGGGATTTTATAGTTTTTTTGGGGGGTCCAGTGCGGACATTGAGCCAAACATTGACCCTAAAAACTTCTATGCAGAGAGATAAAATGGTGGGGAAACAGAACGTCGATCGTAGATAGAGAAATTGCGCATCAATTTGTTATTTGTATAGGATGAAATACAATATTATGCATTTATTTTCCTTATACATCTTAGATTTACTTTATTTATTCCAATTGTTCAATTTATATACATTACATTCGAGGTCGCTTCAAACCACCAGATTTGTTGTAAACCATTCAAAGCTTCAATACAAAATATAGATATAAATAAATTACTCACATAATCCAGAATTATCTATTGCACAATCATTACTTCCAACATTTCTGTTCGTGTCTAATAAAAGGAAATCTTTTAAATGTATGTGGAATAATTTGGTATATGAATAACTCGTGTGTAAGTAGTAATATCATCTACAATTTTCTAAGACGCACATAGTAAACATTGACCCGTCGAGGACACCAACATTTCATGAGCTCTCAATTCGTACCACATACATATTTA